TGCACGAGAGGTCTCTCCAGACGCTGCACTCCCACCACCGCCAGTCGCAACAGCACCCCCACTAACTCCGCTACCTCCGCCTCCACCTCCACCAGAACCACCTTTCTTGCCCCCCTTGCCGCGGGACCGCGACGCAGTCGTAGCAGCAGCTGCAGTCGCGTCAGTAGCGGCAGTGGCAAGAGAGGCAGTGAAGGTGGGTAACTGCGGGACTGTGCACCCGTGGAAGAGTGGGGGGGGCACAGCACCAGAGGCGGCAGCTACCGAGCGAAGGTTGCTCTCGACGTCCTTGAGCGCAGACTCAAGGACCTCAACTGTCAGCTCACTAGGGTGCTTCAGCAGGAGCGCGTCACGTACGGAGGCAAGGCGGTCAGGGAGGCTAGTGGCGATGAAATAGATAGTAATCGCCATGGGGGGAGGAAGCAGTGCAAGCTGTGCCTCAGTGCAAGCAGCGCGGTAACTAGCGTCGAGCGAGCGGAGGTGAGCGATCAAGTCAGCAGAGCGCTCAAACGAGGCGAGATCAGGAAACAGGAACGGGAGGAAAAGACGGCCAAGAGAGACAGTAGCGGGAGTAGTGTAGCGGGCCTTAATCGCAGTGAGGTACGCAGCAGCGGTGCGAACCTGAGTGAAGTGGACCTCCTCTGACTCAGGGAGGAGGCTGCTGAGTGCGATGCAGGCCGCAGCGTCACGTGACGTCCAAGCCGTCCTGTCAGCGCGCTGACGGGCAAAGCGAGCCGTAGCAGCATCGTCAGGGGCAGGACCTAAAGCGGCAGGCTCGGGGGGCTCGGGGAGGTCACCAGTAGCGTGCGACCAGAGGGTCTCGCCCCCCTGGACTTGACTCTCTAACAGACGGCGAGCACGAAGAAGCCAGACGGAAAAGTCAAGAGGTCTACCGTCAGCGTCGAAACGAAGAACTCGCGGAGTCGCCATAGCGAAAACTAACGCGAACGAGCAGGCGAGTAACAGCAGGAGGTAAGAGGCAAATTAGGGTGCAGGTGGGACTTAGTCGCAGCGGAAGAGCGGGCTAGAGCGACGGGCCAGGGCGTAGGGTCGACGGGACGGGGGAAAGGGCGGGCACGATGCGACGGGGCAGGGCGACGCGACGGGGGAGGGCGACGCGACGGGGGAGGGCGACGGGACGGGGAAGGGCGACGCGACAGGGCAGGGCGACGGGACGGGGAAGGGCGACGCGACGGAGCAGGGCGACGGGACGGGGCAGGGGCAGGGCGACGGGACGGGACGGGGACGGGACGGGGCAGGGGCGACGGGACGGGACGGGGACGGGACGGGGCAGGGGCGACGGGACGGGACGGGGCGACGGGACGGGGCAGGGCGACGGGACGGGGCAGGGCGACGTGACGGGGGGAAAGGGCGCGACGCGACGGTGGGAAAGGGCGCGACGCGACGGGGGGAAAGAGCGCGACGCGACGGGGGGAAAGGGCGCGACACGACGGGGGGGAACGGGCGCGACGCAACGGGGGGAAAGGGCGCGACGTGACGGGGGGGGAAAGGGCGCTAGGCGACGGGGGGAAGGGCGCTAGGCTCGGCACTAGGCGCGGTAACAACGGAACCGGTACGAACGAGAGGTAGGATCAGGCTCGGGAGATACGAACGGAGAACGGAGGAACGGGATCCCACAGGATCCTAACCTAACTGATACCATGTCAGAATGAGGAATGGATGATGCATTGATGTTGGTTGGGGTACATATAGCTAACCCTAAGTTTTGTACCCCCTAAGACAAACCTCACTATAGGCTACAACATTTGACATCATGGTACCACGGTCGTAACTGGTCGTGCCACAGAACTAAATAAAAATGTGTGTTGTATTGTAGCTGAAGTTTAGTAAGAAGTTTTGGTCAACACGCTATGGTAACAAGAGGGATGCATTTCTAGTTATTTGATAATGAGAATGGTTCAGCCAATCCGAAGTTGGTTGGTGGTGCCTACATGACAATAAATCAAAATCCATACTACATGCCAATAAATCAAAATCCATAATACAGTTAAATGCACGTCTAGAGAGTGTAGAGAAGAATGACAGTGAGAGTGTAGCCAGCAAAAAAGGAAACACAGCACACAAAGTCAATTCTAGCTGCCAGAAGATAGTTGCCTGACTTGGCATGGTCGTCATCGACAGGCTTAAAGTGGTACCCACAGAGGCTGAATTTCTGTACAAAATGCCGTACGAGTAGGACAAGGACAAGTACAGTAGTACAAACAGGAGTTGACAACAAAGCAGCACCCAAGTTCCAAAAGAACAGAGAATTTGGTTGACAGAAATACTTGGCACGATGGATGATTGAAATGCACAACGCGCAACTGGGCACACCAAATGCACGTGGCGTGACCATACCCCCGAAGAAAGCCCCCCCTCCACATAAGGCCATGTACTGAAAGAGAAGACCAATCAAACAAGAACTTACCCAGAAGCATAAACCCACCTATCACACGCACGCAGGCCCACTCACCCAGGTACGGCCCTTCTTCGCTTTCTCAAGTGACGGCTTCCCTCCTCCACACCTGGCTGCACCGTTCCCGTCTCCCACCTCCTCGTCCTTCTCTGTCACAAGCTCCTCACTCTCCTCCCCTGCACCGCCAGCCTTGCCAGGCCCAAACGCACACGTTTTCGCCGTCTTCTGTGGGCTTTGGGGTTCTGTCTCTGTCTCTGTCTCTGTCTCTGTCTCTGTCTCTGTCTCTGGCTCTGGTTCTGGCTCAGCAACGGAGAACCGCATGGAACGTGTGGCTTCTGATGCCATGTCCCCCGCCGTCCCCACCATGTCCCCCACCGTCTCCACCACATCCCCCACCGTCTCCACCACGTCCTTCTCTAGCTGCACACAGCAAGCGAGTGCAGTGACGAATTCCGAGAGAAAGCACGCGTCAGCAGCCGTCAAACGACACAGCAGTGGCGACAAGGAGGCAGGCAGGCAGGCAGGCAGGCAGAGAAACAGCGAGTAGGGGATGTATGCGTGCGAATGCGGCTTCCTTGCGTGCATGGCAAGATGCCATACAGGCCCAGGTAGTGGTGTGGCGTGAGGCAAGGTGCACAAGGAGCATGGCAGCAGGTGTTGGTGGCAGGTGAGTGAGAGTGCAGGGATGGCTCACCCGATCGGCGATGAGGTAGACGATGAGGGTCTCCACGGCGGTGAGACCGATGAAGACGTATGAGATGATGACCAGATAGCCAAACTGCGTCATCACTGATGAGCGCGGCAGCTGCCGTGGGGGGGGGGGGGGAGACAAGGAGAAAACGGAGAGATGAGGGTAGGGAGGGAGAAAGGAAGGGGGTGAGAGGAATGGAGGCAGGGCGAGGTGAATGCAGCAGAGACGGGTAGAAAAGGAAGGTGTAAAATGCGAGTAAAGAAGTGGGATGTGGTGGAGGGAGGGTGCGAGAGTTTGATGCTTGATGCGTGGTGGTGGTGAGGTGTTGAGCTTAGCACCAAGTGAAGAATCCAAGGTGTTCAGTCCATGTGAATGCAATGAAGCGAGTGTTCATGGCATCAGCTGCAGAAGGAAATATGGTGATGCAAGGGAAGGCCCGTGCACCCATACACCCATGCACCCATGCACCCATGCAACCATGTACCCACGCACCCAAGCTCCCACACACCCACACACCCACCCACGCACTCACCCACCCACCCACTTAACAAAACACCCACCTGACTGTCGATGACAAACTGAACGGCTGAGAGGGCGAGGAAGAGCGTCACGAAGGTGGCGGATCGAGTCTCAAGGTCGTCAGGTTTTGCAAAAAAGACGGAAAAGCAGAGATACACGCTCAGCGTCACTGGCACCACGATCTGACAGGGGACGAAGGGGTGCAAGGGACGAGGACTCAGAGGTCAGAGATGCACTGAGCAGGAGGAGTTTTGAGACGTCTCAAAAAACACAATCATACAGGGAAGGAGGGGTAACACGTGCAAGGGACGACGACTCGAGGTCAGAGATGCACTGAACGGGAGGAGGGGAAGGATGGGTTTTGAGAATTCTCAAAAACGGAGGGTATCACACGTGCAAGGGACGAGGACTCAGAGGTCAGAGATGCACTGAACGGGAGGAGGGGAAGGAGGGGAGGATTAGGAGGAGAGGAGAAGGGGAGAGGCACTGAACGGGCAGCGGATGTAAACAGGATGGAAGAGCGAGGAATAGGTGAGGTGGGGGGGAAGACAATGGGGATGCGGATGATGGTTACAAGGAAACAGACAGTGGGTGAGGGTGTACGTGATGTGGCAACGCACCGAGATGATGTAGACGCCACTGGTGCGGGAGATGTTGATGGTGAAGACACACGACGTGGACTCGTTGGCGTTGCTGCTGCCACTGTCTGGTGCAGAGTTCCGAGAGAACGCGTACCAGGGGTCATCTGCACAGCCCAACACACGTGGCAGCACACATGGCAGCATGCACGGCACAAAAGAAAAGTCTTGTTGATCAACTGTCAGAAAACGTTACTAAGAGACGCGATGGAAGAGGTAAGTGGCAGTGGTCACCAGGAGGATTGCAAGGTGGTTACCAGGATCCTTTCGCGGTGGTTACCAGGATGGTAGGTGGCAGAGATGGCGACGGTGGTTTGAGCGGGAGTGCAGTTGAGGCCCACGCCATTGATCTTCCAGCCCGTGACCTCATCATTCACGTACGTGCCTCCCCCTCCCTCTAGGTTCCCGCCCCCCTGCTCCGATTGCCGGCCTGAGTTGCTCCCCACCAGGACAAACTCCCCGCTCTGCACCTGAATGCTCAGCCGCAGCGTCTGCCGTGCGTGTCATGAAAGAGGGGCGGAGGCAGGGGCAGAGGCAGGGGCAGAGGCAGGGGCGGAGGCAGGGGCGTGGTTTTGATCCTGGAGGGAGGGAGAAATGTCGCGCTTTCTTTGCTGCTCTCTTTGTGTGTGCGTGTGTGTGCGCGTGCGTGCGTGCGTGTGGGCACATGTCTGTGCAGGTCAAAGAGGAGGCAGTGCGAGAGCGAGAGTGTGGGACAAGGGCATATAGGTGGGAGACGAACCTGAGAGTCAAGAGGAAACTTCTTGAAGCTGAGGGGTGACGAGAACTCGCCTGTTGGACACGCAAACGCATAACGACAAGCATGGGCGCGTGCGCGCGCGCGCGCGCACACACACACACACACACACACACACGCACGCACGCACGCAGAGAGACACGGCGGTCGAGAATGTGTGAGCTCTTACAAGACGCACACCGATCACTGGTTCCATGATTGCGAGGTACTGCAGTTGATGGAAGCCGTGTGGGGATTCCGTGTGAGAGGAGTAGAGCGAGCACGCTATGGCAGACGAGTGGACCAAGGAGAGAGACGCAAGGCCATGCAACGGACGCAGGGAAAGGCGACGGGAGTTGGAGGGAGGAGAGGAGAGAGTGGAGGGAAAGGAGGGGAGTGGAGGGTTAGGAGGGGAGAGGAGGGGGTTGGAGGGATAGGAGGGGGGTGGAGGGAGAGGAGGGATTGGGGAGAGAGGAGAGAGGAGGGGAGAGGAGGGGAGAGGAGGGAGAGGGAGAGGAGTGAGGAGGGAGAGGAGGCGAGGTGCACCTCCAACGACGACTTCTCTGTCGATGGCGCTGGCCTCGTTGCTGTACTGCCCGAAGAAATATATGCTCTCTGGGAGAGAGGGGGGTGGGGGGATGGCGGGAGGGAGGGGGAAAGGGAGAGGGAGGGGCAGAGAGAGAGGAATGAGGGGTGGGAAGAAGAAGGGGGAAGGGCGCTAGGAGAAAGCCCGGAAGAGGAGGAATTGACGGACGTTAAGGCCGGCCAGATTACAGGCAGACAGGCAGATGCGAGGGCGTGCAGCGTGTGTGGGCAGCGAACGACGTGAATCCATGCATGCAAGGTCGGGAGCGGGTGGGCGGATTGGTTCGGAAGCGGTGTTGGGGGTAGAAAAGGGCTGACCGGTTTGGAAGCGGTCCTGCGGGTAGAAGAGGACGTTGTCGATGGTGAGCGAGGGGATCCAGAGGGCGTCGCAGCAGGTGGTGCCGGACGGCGAGCACGGCTTGTTGCAGCCGTCCATCTGCGGCAGGTTGTTCTGCTTCGGCGTCTTCAGACACTCGTCCTTCTGGCTTATGTTGAACCCCGAATACGTCACGCCTGGCATGCAGTTAGCCGTGGCGAGTCCCGTTATTGCCGGCCCGAACGCGCCCACCGCGTTGTTTATTGCCAGCGTGTCGTTCACTGCACACACACACACACACACGCACGCACGCACGCATGCACGTACGCACGCACGCACAGGCGGAGGCCGCACAGACACTCACAGAATCCGCACGCACTCACGCACAGGTCGAGGCAGAGGCAGAGGCAGAGGTGAATAGACAATGAGGAACGGGAACCAGGGTTGTTTACAATATGGATGCCAGTCAGAACCACAACCACACGACCGGCCGACTCACAATCACACGCGCGCATCACGTCAAAACGGATACTTTCAGCCCGCAAGGAGGCCCACCCTTCACCATCACCATCATCAGAAATGGCTTGGCTTGGCATGGACAACAGGAACGGCTACTACAACGAACGAGGCAGCACGGCGAACGGCGGAGCAAGGGGCGTGCGGGGCAAGCGGCACCAGAAGAGAGGAGGGCGAAACGCACCTCGCGGGTCTCGCCACGTGGAGATGACTTGGAAATACGCGAAGTAGCTGTACTTCACGGCTGTAAGGCGGGGAGACGAACATGGGGGGACGGAAAGATGGACGGATGTGTGTGTGTTTCTGGGTGGGTGGTTGTGTATGTTGTGTAAGGGTCCCTTGCGGTGGTTGTGTGCTTGTCCGCGCGCGCGCGCGTGTGAGCGGCGGGTGCGCGCGTGTGAGCAGCGGGTGCGCGCGCGTGAGCGGCGGGTGCGCGCTGGTGTGGCAATGCAAGTGGAGCAGCGCCGTCGACGGTGACGAGTTTCTTGAGCTCACCGTCGACGGTGACGAGTTTCTTGAGCTCACCGTCGACGGTGACGAGTTTCTTGAGCTCACCGTCGACGGTGACGAGTTTCTTGAGCTCACCGTCGACGGTGACGAGTTTCTTGAGCTCACCGTCGACGGTGACGAGCTTCTTGAGCTGCACGGAGAGAAACACTTTCGGCTTCTCCGACACGATCCCCGCCGTGTACGGGTCGATGCCCTGACCAATCAGCGGACAGTCCGTCTGCGCCGCCGCCAGCTGAACGCCTCCGCGTTTGGCGCCGAAATTCGCGGTCAACGGGAGCAGCATGAGTGCGAGCATCAGCACGAGCGACAAAGGCGAATCCCTCCGGTGAGCAGCAACAAGGGGGACATGAGCTGCCATTGCCCCCGCACGACCTGGTAGCCTGGATCAAGAGATTGATTGAAACAAGCTCACACAAGCGCGGTGGACGACTGGCTTTGCTCTTGGCCTGGCGAGAATGTAGAGTTGAGACTTGGACTCGAAGAGGGACGCGCGCGTGAACGTCTCTTCTCCCTCCTGCTTGTGCAGTGAGGGTGCGTGGCATTTGCGCGAATGGGATTGGTGGATTGGGGGGGGTGGAGTGGAGCCGCTGGTGGCGCGGAGCTCGGAGCGCGGAGCGGAATGAAAGACCGACGGATCATGCGGTGCGGTGCGGGGGAAGGGGAAGCAATCTGTTCTGGCTTTATCATTGGCGGATGGAAGCAGGCGGATAAGTCGTGCAACAACACAGTGGCAGCGCCAATATAAGGGCCTGGTTTGCCCCCAAAAGTCGGCTAAGTACCGGTCAGCTTGGAGTGTGTCGTGCAAACTTTTTATGGCAGTTTCTTTCTGTAATTCAGGATTGAATGTATGCTGTAGAAGTTTCGAGATATCTAGATTATATAATACATGGTTCCCTATTGGAATACACAGCTTGCAAGCACAACCTCCAGACTAGCTTGAGTTGAGTCCCCCCCACCCGTACACTCTATAATGGTGCTTACCTAGTTTCGCAATTTCTAGACTAAACCGCCCTCCAAGTCGTGCTACATACTCCACGAAGCCCCTGCTCGGCCGAACCCGACGGGCCCTTGAACAGCAAGCCCCGGACTGATTCGGAATTAGTGGTCGAGATGTACGCTTCCATGCCGAACCAACGCCAGCCAGAATTTCGATCACCCCAACCGAGGTTTGGGTGGTCGAGTATCTTTCCCCTCGCCTCTTTCTCTTCGCAGTGCGCGCGCGTCTCAAATCCGCCCTCGCGCATTAGCGGCGCTCGCGCTCCCTCTGCGGCGACACATCTTTCCCCGAGTCACCTCACCTCCTCTCGTCGCTCCACCACACCACACGACACGACACGTCATGACAGGCACAGGAGCCCGCATAGCATCGAGCTGCCACTGCCACTCCGGCTCCACTGCTTTCCGGAGCAAACAACACCTGGCTCTCAGAGAATTGTGCTCGTTACTATTCTTGCATTGCCCGAGATATCCGCGGTCCAGTAGTAGTACTACCGGGTAGTAGTACTACCGGGTAGCATCATGGCCTCCTCCGTCCACCCCGGGCCCATCCCTACGTTACTAGTACTACTGTCGCCATCCAATCGCCGATTCCCGTCGCCATCGATGCCGACTCCCCGTGCCGCGGCAATCCCGATGCTGCTGCTGCTGCTGCTGCTCACGCTCCTGGCGCCGGCGGATGAGCGCTCCGCCAGCGGGGGCGGCGGAGTGCGCGGGGCGTGGGCGCAGACGGACTGTCCGCTGGTGGGGCAGGGCATCGACCCGTACTCGGCGGGGCTGGTGAACGACAAGCCGCCCGTCTACCTCTCCGTGCTGCTCAAGAAGCTCATCGCCGTCGACGGTACGCGCGTTAGTACTACCGTAGTGACTATTCTCTGCGCCGTCCCCACGTTTCGCATTCCCCTTCCTCGTTCCCCCCTTTTCCCCCCTTCCCCTCCCGGGCCTCCCCCCCCGCCCTTCTAACCTTTCCCCCGCCCTGCCTCCCCTTCCCCGGTCGCTCATTGCGCTGTCATCGGTACCTACGCGCGTGCGCGCATCTCCGCTCCTTCCCCGCCGCCATTCGTCCCCTTCCGCTCAAATGTTGGCGTACCCCTTGTGGCTGCCGTTTCAAAGCAAAGTCTTAGGGTCATTCCCATCCCATTGCACGAAACGCCGAAGAATTGATTTGCATTTCCCCCCCCTCCCCCCCCCCCCCCCCCCCCCCCCCCCCCCCCCCCCCCCCCCCCCCCTCCCAACCCCCTGTGGGCGCGCATGGCATGGAGGCGGGCAGAGATCCAGTACAGCTACAGCGCCTACTTCTCCATCGTCACCACCTGGCGCGACCCACGAGGTGCGTGCTGCTGCTAGCTCCGAGCTCCCCCTCGTGCTCCCCCATGTGGCGCCGTGGCGTTCATTAGTAGTATGGCTGGGTCGTTTCGCGGGTGCCCGCTGGTGGTCGTTGCGTCTCATAGTGGGAGTATTCCGCGATTTTCTCCCGCCGCGGCTTGGCATGGAGTGGAATGGCATGCCATGGCGTCGCGTCGCGTCGCGTCGCGTGACATGACATAGCATGACATGGCATGGCATGTTATGGCATGGCATGACGTGGCATGGCGTGGCATGACGTGACATGACGTGGCGTGGCAGTGAACGACACGGTGGCGATGAACAAGGTGCTGTCGGCGGTGGGGCCGGCCATCACGGGACTCGCCACGGCCAACTGCATGCCCAACGTGACGTTCTCGGGCTTCAACGTCAGCCACAAGGACGACTGCCTCAAAAACACCAAACAGGTCCACACAACAGGGGGACCGATGCATGGGGGATGGGGATTTGGATGTGGATGGGGATGGGGATGGGGATGGGGATGTGTGAGAGGGGGGGAAAGATGGGGGAAAGCAAGGGAGGCGCAGCCTTGAGCGGGATGGCGAAGCAGGGGGCTGGGGCACGAGCTGACGGGGTGGTGATGCACCCACCTGCTTGATGCTTGCATCTCCCTCCAAGCCCTTTCCCTCCCCCCCTACATTCCACCACCAACTCATCATTCCATCCCCCCTCCCCCCTTTCTGCGACTCATGGTGCAGAACAACCTGCCGCAGATGGAGGGGTGCAGCAAGCCGTGCACTCCTGCGGGCATCACGTGCTGCGACGCCCTCTGGATCCCCTCGCTCACCATCCCCAACATCGTCCTCTACCCGCAAGACCGCTACCAGACTGGTCAGTCAGCCCCACCTCCTCTTCCCCTCTCTCCAACGGTCCTTTGTATCAATGCGCTGTCTTCCTCTTCCTCCCACATTCAAGGCTTTCTTTGAGCTCACACACTCCAAATACGATTCTTTCTTTTAAGGCTTTTTACGGTACCTTTTGGGGAAAAACAGCAGTTTTTTTCGTTAGACAAAAGAAAAAACGCTTTATCTTTAAAGATGCTGTTTTTAAACAAAAGAAAACACTTCGAACAATCTCCTAGTGCATCAGGAGCACTACTAACCGCCCCCTCGTTTTACTCACCAAACAATCCCTTCGTTCTAGCAGCATTTTTTTTTTTTTTTTTTTTTGCACCGAACTGATTTTTTTAAAACTGGATGGAATTGCTTCTTGATCGTTTTTTACAATACTGCATTTTACGGTCAAAACCTTGAAAATTTACGCCGTGTTTTGGTACATTGTGCAACGCCATGCCATACCATGGCAGATGCTTGCTAGGAAGCAAATTGCTTGGCGCCTTGCATGCCCCTCGTGTCCACCTCGTGCCTTGCATGCCCCTCGTGTCCACCTCGTGCCTTGCATGCCCCTCGTGTCCACCTCGTGCCTTGCATGCCCCTCGTGTCCTCCTCGTGCCTTGCATGCCCCTCGTGTCCTCCTCGTGCCTTGCATGCCCCTCTTGTCCTCCTCGTGTGTGCATGGGGGTGCAGAGAGCATATTCTTCCTCCCTGTTTCCCGCTTCTGCCACTCTGCGTCCCCCATGTGTATGCGTGTGTGTCTGTGCAGAGAGCATATTCTTCTTTGGGGATTACAGCACCGACGCCAGTGCCGTCGACAGAGAGAACATCGTTGAGGGTGCGCTGTCGTCTCCTCGCACATGCCCTCCTGCCACTCACATGCTCTCCTGCCACTCACATGCTCTCCTGCCACTCACATGCTCTCCTGCCACTCACATGCTCTCCTGCCACTCACATGCTCTCCTGCCACCCTCATGCTCTTCGCTCCTCCCTCGCTCTGCTGTCGCGCCCTCTGCTCTTCTCTGCCTTGCTCTGCTCTGCTCTTCCGCCCTAGTCCACCAATAGCCGCTCTGGCCTTGAAAGGCTGGTATATCTGCCCTTCAGCCACATCCAAGGCACTTACCTCCCTCCTCTCCTCACTCCCTCTCCCCATCCCTCCCTCCCTCGTCCTCCTTCCTCATCTCGGTCTCCCCCATTCTCATCGTGCAGGAACATTCTCCTCGCCCTTCACCTTCCGGAAATTCCCCTTTGACTCCCAGGTAGGTAACTCTCCACAGCTTCTCTCAACACTCCGCTGTCCTTGTCTATTATTACCGCCTTTCATCCCTAAGAATCAATCAGAAACGTCTGCAATAATCCATGCGTCTTAAGCATAAAAGGCGACACGTCTGCTTGGTCTCCCTCCCTCCTCCTTCTACTCCCTACGTACTGTATTCCACATCTTCTCCTTTCCCCGCCCTTCCTCCTCTCTCTTGTGTCTCCCCCCACCCCGATCGTCCCCCCAACCTCCCCCCACCCCGCTCGCCCCCCCAACCCCCCCCACCCCGTTCCCCCCGCCTGCAGGTGCTGCGGTTGGTGGTGGCGGTGGAGGGCAGTGGCGAGTTCTACCTGGTGGGGAGCAACTCGGGACGGCAGTCGGAGCAGGGGGGCGGGCAGCTGGGCGGAGGGGGAGGCACGTACGTGAATGATGAGGTCACGGGCTGGAAGATTGTCAGTGTGGGCCTCAACTGCACTCCCGCTGACACCACTGTCAGCAGCTCCGCCTCCTACGCCCCTGGTAACCACCTCCGCTACCTGCCATCCCGGTGTGTGTGCATGGAAGCGTGTGTGTGCGTGTGGGTATGAGAGTGGATGTGTGGATGGGTAGGTGTGTGGGTGTGTGGGAGCACTCTCTGTTCTTTCTCTGCTCCCACCCCTCCCTCTGCTCTCGCCCCTCCCTCTGTGCTCTTCTCTCCTCTCCCCATCACCAATTCCACTCATGTGCGCCTGCCTCCTGCCTGTTGCTGTGTACCTTCGCCCGCAGAGGACCCGTGGAACGCCGTACCGGACAGCGGCAGCAGCAGCAGCGATGGGGCAGCGAGCAACCAGAGCTCAACGTGCATCTTCACCATCCACATCCAACGCACCAGCGCTGTCTATGTCATTGCTGTACGCTCCCAACCAACCCTGCCTCCTCTCTCTCTCTCTCTCCTCTCTCATTCTCGTCTTCCTGCGCTCTGCTTCTCTCCTCCATACAGTATCTCATCCTGCCTTCTCTGCCTTCGTCTTCAAACCTGTCTATGTACAATCCATACCTTCAGTTGACTGTACATTCATTTCATCTCGCTCCTCCCCCTTGCTTCTGGCCTGTAACCGGTCTTGCCAATCTCTCTCCTCCCACCCCTTTCTTCTGTAAACCATTCAACCTCCCTTCCTTCTTCCCTCCTCCTCCTCCTCTCTCCTCCTCTCTCCTCCTCTCTCCTCTCCTCGCTCTCTCTATCGCCTCTCTCTCCTCTCTCCTCTATCGCCTCTCTCTCCTCTCTCCTCTATCGCCTCTCTCTCCTCTCTCCTCTATCGCCTCTCTCTCCTCTCTCCTCTATCGCCTCTCTCTCCTCTCTCCTCTATCGCCTCTCTCTCTCTCTCCTCTATCGCCTCTCTCTCCTCTCTCTCCTCTATCGCCTCTCTCTCCTCTCTCCTCTATCGCCTCTCTCTCCTCTCTCCTCTATCGCCTCTCTCTCCTCTCTCCTCTATCGCCTCTCTCTCCTCTCTCCTCTATCGCCTCTCTCTCCTCTCTCCTCTATCGCCTCTCTCTCTCTCTCCTCTATCGCCTCTCTCTCTCTCTCCTCTATCGCCTCTCTCTCCTCTCTCCTCTATCGCCTCTCTCTCCTCTCTCCTCTATCTCCTCTCTCCCTCTCTCTCCTCTCTCCTCTCTCCCTCTCTCTCGCCTCTCTCTCCTCTCGCCTCTCTCTCCTCTCTCCTCTCGCCTCTCTCTCCTCTCTCTCTGTCCTCCTCCTTCCCTCAACCAGGTGGTGCTGCCGGTCATCCTGAGTGTCTATCTCACATTCACGGCCTTCATTGCAAAGCCAGAGGATCTCGAGATTCGATTGGGGGCGTGCCTCACGCTCTTCCTTGCACTCGTCGCCATTCAGTTCGTCATTGACAGCCAGGTTCGTCATTGACAGCCAGGTTCGTCATTGACAGCCAGGTTCGTCATTGACAGCCAGGTTCGTCATTGACAGCCAGGTTCGTCATTGACAGCCAGGTTCGGCATTGACAGCCAGGTTCGGCATTGACAGCCAGGTCCGGCACACTCCCCCCACGCACACTATCCTAAAGCACACTCCCCTCACACACACGCCCCATGCCCTTCTCACAATCACAGCCAGGTCAATCCTTACAAGCTTCCCCCCTCCCCTCCCGCACAACACACCTTCCGTTATTCTGCTCTCAATCTCCTCTCACCTTGAAGCATTTGCCTTGCACTCCAGTTCCCACCTCTCAAGGTACATTCGGGACGTGAGATGTCCCAAAAAAAGTGTTGTATTTGTGATCAATTGTGATACTCCGCAACAATAATCGTGACTAATTGTGATGCTCCGAAATGAAATAACAGTAAGTAAAGAACCACTCTTGGTAAGACATCTGGCTAGATATTTACTGATAATGATTTGGAGTGTCACAATTAATCACGAATAGCAGTTTCGGAGTATCACAATCAGTCACAAATATGTTTGTGACACTTTCTTTTGGGACATGCCACGTCCCGAATGTACCCTCACTTCACTCCAAACATCTTCAGACTCCTCTGTCCTTCTCCCCCCTGCTCTCACCTCAGCCCTCTCTTCCAAAACCTAACTTTCTGCTACCACGATCATTCAACACCGCTTTCAAACCCCTCCTGAATCCCTCCTTGCCCACTCAACCCCCCCCCTTCCCACCCCAACCCACCTGCATGGGTGCAGCTGCCGCGCACGTCAGCAATAACCAACTTTGGGTATCTGATGATCACGTCCTACATTGTTATCTGGCTCTGCACCATGGAGACCCTCGTCGCCTTTTCAATCGCCGAGCGCATCGAGAAGAACGTGGAGGAGCTTGTCAATGAAACGCTGCCACCCGCCCTCTCCATGAAACGCCGCTCCGATGCTGACACGGCAGCAGGCGAGAAGCTGATGGGTGCTGGGGAGGACGGGGAGGACGGGCATAGTGTTGACAGTGACGACCCTGAAGCCATTGCGGAAGCTGCGGCGGAGAGGAGGGCTGCTGCAGCTGAGGAGAAGCAGAAGAAGAACGTCCCATACTTGCTGGTGTGTCTCACTAGGCTGCTGCGTTGAATCGGTCTTTCGCTAGTTTTCCCTGCACTCCTGTAACATTTAACCTCGCGTCATCGCCTCCCCCCCAAATTCCTGATTGGTGCCTTTGTCTTGGCAGAGATTTCGGTTGTTTGGCTACCATGTGAGGCGATCCAACCCTGAGAGAGCCAAGGAAGGGAACTACCGGCTCGCAGTCAAAATAGACTTCACTGTTGCTCTTATTCTCTTCACGGGCTACACTGTCACCTGGATAGTTTTGTGCACCACTTGAATGATTCTCTCTCTTGGATGGACCATGCATTAGGTGTTAAAATGAAGGCTGATCTTAGTTTTTGAGTGACACTTGTATGTATTGGGAGAGCTGTGGCTTTCTCGGGGCTGCGCAATTGTCTTAGGTCGACGTCAGGTTGTACAACTTTTTGTACGCTCTCTGCGGTCAACTTTGTTTCGTTGCTGTAAAGTGGTATTTCCCCAAAACCGCTTCCCACCTTCTGGAACCGTCCTGAGCCACGATACAAAAACTGTGTGAGAACTGTGCAACCTGACAACATGCAGAAAGTGAGTGAGCAATGCCACTGCAGCTCACTCACTCCAGACCTACAACACGCCCCTGCCCTGCTCGACGGTAGGTCTGGTTGCCTTGCCGAACGACAAGGGCGGTCTGGTTGCCTTGCCGAACCTCCAAAGCAGGTCCCACCGCCGCTGATTTAAAAAGACGGCTGGCTTGGTCGCTATGCCCGAGCTTGGTCTGGTCCGCACCTAACCCCAAACCAGGTTTGGCAGGTGTCACGACTTCAAGTCTGCTACACATATTGATTCCTAAGGGCGTGTGCGCTTGAGGTTGAACCTACGCAGAAGTTCGAACTTCTAGAGTGGTTGTACACGGTAAAAAACATTCAAAAGGCGTTTTGCCACGGTACAGAGCAGTATTTGGCTGGAACTTCGACATTTTTTGCACAGGCATGCGCCCTAAACAGAGCTCCTAGTATTGTCTGGCTATCATGCCATCGAGCGCAAGTCCTCGAATCGCTCCGCATCACCGACCAACCAATGCATCGAATGAAAGCCTCGAAAGAGGTTCGAAATCCCAAACCGCACGGAACCATCATGAGTCCGGGCAGCCCCCAGCCACTCATCTGATTGGGAGTGAAGTCGTGCTACACAGCCAGCCAGAGGAATTGCCGCCTTCACAGCCACTGGCAGCCACACTAAAGATTCTCCCCTGCCGAAGCGCGTCCACCTGCCTCCGTCCATCAGTCCGTCGAAACTGTACTAATCCCAGAGCATTTTCTCTCATCGCGATTATGCACTCTGTGGTCGTTGCTGAGGACCTTTCCGTGACGCTCGCCACAGAACGCAATCCCACTTCCCCATGGCTACTAGTACCACCATGGCGGCTTTCTCGTGCCGTGGGGCCTCCCCACGTCTGCTCGTGTCGCTCCTGCTCCTCTCCCTCACCGTCTTGCGGATCCACGCGCGCCACGGCCCCGAGATAGCCGTTGCGGACGCTCAGCCGCATGATGAATCGGATTCCCGCAGCGGCATTCCCGCCGGGGGTGTCGCGGATTCTCATGGGGGGCAGTTCGAGTCGCAGTCTCCCAAGGTACTCGATCACACGAGTCGCGGATGATCATGCCCCCCATGCCATGGGTAGTTACGACTCTCACTAGCGTATTCTGGAAACGAATTGCGCGATATCATGTTCAGATTGCTCGTAGTAAGTAGCACGGTGACTCGCATTCTTTGAACAAACGGTGTGAGCAATCACTATTTCGAGTCATCGCAGGTCGGGGCATCTGGAGGGCACCAGCATGGTCCATCAGCCGCAAGCAGCGGAGGCACAACGGCGGCCAACACGGGGAGCGGCGGCACGGCGGAGTCAATTGCGGAGTGGAAGCGGCGATCAGCGGAAGCGGGCGCGCACTTCTTCCCCCTGCAGCGCGCGGAAGACGCCCCCAGCAGGGAGGAGATTCACCGGCGGATTCTCGCGGTGAGCGGTGAAGGGCGGGAGGAGAGGACGGGGTCAGGGAGTCGCTGCTCGAATTGTCTTTCACGATTTCACGACATGCCTCCCCACGTGGGTGCTGCTGTAGCTTGCACTGCACATGATGGTGATGACGACGACGGCGACGACGATGATGATGATGATGACGATGATGATGATGATGACGATGATGGTGCTGATGGGGCATGTGCATGGTGTTGCATCGACATCTTTACTTCACCGCTGCCACTCCGCTGTTGCTCTTACTGTCGTTTCGATTGCGTGCCGCGCCCTACCCCCTCTTCCCGTCTCTCACGATCCGTGACATGCGCAGGGCCTGGGACAAGGCATGAAGCCCCCGCAAGCGTCAGGCACGGTATCTCAGGTGCGTGAGTGCAAACGAGCACGACCCAACGCTGCAACAGCAGTGCTACTGCTTGTGCACACTAGTTGTGTAGTCTCGGGCAGTTGTTTGTGGCACGGTGGCAGGTGGCAGGTCGGAGGTCACATGGGCTGTCCCACCTGCCTGGTTGCTGGTCACTCGCGTGCATCCCTGCTTGCGTGCATCCCTGCTTGCGTGCATCCCTGCGTGCGTGCATCCCTGCGTGCGTGCGTGCGTGCGTGCATCCCTGCGTGCGTGCGTGCATCCCTGCGTGCGTGCGTGCATCCCTGCTTGCGTGCGTGCATCCCTGCTTGCGTGCGTGCATCCCTGCTTGCGTGCGTGCATCCCTGCTTGCGTGCGTGCATCCCTGCGTGCGTGCGTGCATCCCTGCTTGCTTGCGTGCGTGCATCCCTGCTTGCGTACGTGCATCCCTGCTTGCGTGCGTGCATCCCTGCTTGCGTGCGTGCATCCCTGCTTGCTTGATTGCGTGCGTGCAGGTGCAGGGGTATCGTTTGCCGCTGCTGAACTACGACAGCACGCTCGTCTCAACGGCCAACGGCACAATGGGCAACACCATGGTCAACTACAGCACCTCCATGGATGACAACCAGATCCGCCTCGCGTATGCCTCCGCACCGTGCTGCCCCTCTCACTGCACGCCACTCGCTGCACGCCACTCGCTGCACGCCACTCGCTGCACGCCACTCGCTGCACGCCACTCGCTGCACGCCACTCGCTGCACGCCACTCGCTGCACGCCACTCGCTGCACGCCACTCGCTGCACGCCACTCGCTGCACGCCACTCGCTGCACGCCACTCGCTGCACGCCACTCGCTGCACGCCACTCGCTGCACGCCACTCACTGCACGCCACTCGCTGCACGCCACTCGCTGCACGCCACTCGCTGCACGCCACTCACTGCACGCCACTCGCTGCACGCCACTCGCTGCACGCCACTCACTGCACGCCACTCGCTGCACTCACACTCTCAAAACGCACTCTCTCCCATTAGCAACTCGTCTCACACCCCTCTCTCGGTCACCCATCATCCCTACACCAGCCCTTCACAATAAACACTTCCCACGTTCCTTCTCCCCTCTTTCTCCACTTTCGCCCCCCATTCTCACGCCCCCCATTCTCACGCCCCCCACCCTCGCGCCCCCCGCCATCGCGTCTCTCTCTCCCCCCTCCAGCGTGTATCCGTACTACGTGAATCTCAAGCTGGGGTCGCAGAAGCAGCAGTTCAGCATGGCGCTCGACCTGCTTATCCAAGACACCTTCGTGCCCTGCGACTGCCTGCACTGCGGCACCGCACGCAAGGGGGTGCGTGTGTGGGCTTCCGCCCTCCGCACACCCATCCACCCACCCGCCCCCAGCGGAGAGTGCGAGGGGGGAAACAGGGTGTTGCTCTGGTAGTGGGTGAATGCACGCATGCATGCTGCATCCCTGTTTTTGTTACAAGAGTACATCCTTTTTCCCCCTCCACCACAACTCCTTCTGCCCCTTCGCCCTCCCCCTCCACACTGATTTTGCACATGTCGTTCCCCTCTAGCCTTACCTCACGTCTCCGCCTTCCCCTCCCCTCTTCCCCTCCCCCTCCCCCTCCCCCTCCCCCTCCCCCCTGCAGACCCCCTCCAGCAAGCCCTTCAGCACGCTCGCCTCCACAACCCTGCAGTACATCTCCTGCGCCGACCAGCGCTGCATGACAGGCATTGACAATGGCTACTACGGCTGCAACGCGGAAGGGCTCGGCAACTACCTCAACACCACGGGCCTGCTGCCTGGGGACGACGCTCTCTGCGTGTACAGTGCGAGCGCATCAGGCTATGATTACTATGAAGCTGACTATGATACTGGATTGTACCTTCAGTCGGTGGGGCATGTGGTGGAGGATACGATCTACCTCACTGCACCTGACGGTACCGAAGTCAACCGGTCCATTGTTTTTGGGTGAGTCTTTCCTTGTTCTTTTCCCATAATCTCTCCCGTGCTTCCTCCCGCACTGCATTATCCTCCTCTCCTTTGTTCTATCCCTCACTCTCTCCTCTCTCCCTCCCCCCATTGCCTGCTCAGCTGTGGAGTGAACCAGCAGGGCTACTGGGGCATGCAGGGGTGGCAGTACGGGTCGTGGGCAGCAGGAGGCGTGCTGGGGCTGGGGTGGGGCAGCCCCTTCCTCTGGCAGCTCACCGGCCTTAATGACCCAAGCACCTTGGCCGTGTGTCTGGAGAAGCCCACGCCGACGAACAAGACGGGGTGGGATGGCAAGGTGCCGCTGCAGGCAGGCAGCAGCCATCTCACCATCGGAGCCACCGGCCTCCCTGCCGGCGCCAGCTATGCCAACATGTAATCCCCCTGCTCCTGCTCCACACGACACCCTCCGTCACTCCCTCGGTCCCTCGTGCTCTCGCAACCTCTCATGCTCTCGCAACCTCTCATGCTCTCGCAACCTCTCGTGCTCTTACAAGACATGGTTTCGGCCTTCTGCCTGCTGTCCTCTCCACCCGTGTCTTTTCCCACCCGTCAATCCATCAACCCAACCATCCATTTATCCATCCACCCAACTACCCATCCGTCCATCTATCCATTCATCCATCCATCCATCCATCCATCCATCCATCCATCCATCCATCCATCCATCCATCCATCCATCCATCCATCCATCCATCCATCCATCCATCCATCCATCCATCCATCCATCCATCCATCCATCCATCCATCCATCCACCCATCCACCCATCCACCCATCCACCCATCCACCCATCCACCCATCCACCTGTTCCCCTCCACACCCATGTGCAATCCCTGCTGCTCCAGGTCATCCGTGGTCGGTATGCAGTACAGCCAGATCACAATAGCCAACGCCACGCACACCCTGCACATCACAGACAACCCTGGCTACGCCTCAGACTCTTACCTGCCGTCGGACTTCCCTAAGAACGCCACGCCGGGCTTCTACTTCATGCCCGAGTCCTTCGTGCATCTCCTGCGCTACCCCCTCTTGATGGACCTTCTGGACAAGGTACGCTCGCTCGCTCGCTTCGCTCGCTTGTGTTTTTTTCTCCGATTGACTCCTAGGAGCACCCCACACATGCGAGACGTGTTGTTTGGATTCACGTGTAGATAGGTTATTTTTGGGACGTCTCAGAAATATACTATCTACTAAGAGCACCCCACATGCGAGACGCGTTGTTTGGATTCACTGAAAGAAGACATGACCACTTGATTGTATGAGAGAGTCGAATCAGTGCTCATCAGAAGATGAACGTGTTCCTTGTTCCTCGGGCCACTGAGATCGAGTGACACCATTCTCGTTGTGTTGTGACAGCAATCTTGTTTCACAAACACACACACACACACACACACACACACACACACACACACACACACACACACACTCTACGCGTAAATGTGGCTTGAAAATAAGTTGCATGTACTATTGCTGTAGAGCAACAGGGCTTGCTGGGAAAGCATGCTTCTTCCATGCGAGAGCTCCCCCCTTAGGCTAATCATGTGCCAGATTCCTTGTGCACGTAACTACTTTTCATTGTACCCTTTTACGCATCTGCATCTGCTAATTCCAGCTGGCAGACATGACAGGGCAAGATCTAACTTTTTTTGGATATGACAAGGACATGTATCGGCTTGTATGCTTCAAGTAAGCTCTCCAGCTTTGTTGCATGAAACCCGTTGAGTTGATTCAAGTTGAGAGTGCAACTTTCAGCTCGTCAATCCCTCTGCCCATGTCAATCCTTCCAAGTGCCACCTCCATGCACGTACCACAAACAACGCACCACCGCTCTTCTCTCCCTCCCGCAACCGCGCCTTGATTTCAATGGAGCCTGAGAGCACGCGCTGCTGCTACCACAAGGTGAGTGAGCCATACCGATCCAGTTTCATCTCATCTGCCTGCTCTGAGCTTCCAATCCATGTGCATCACATCACATCACCTCACCTGCCACAGACAGCCCAACCAAAAGCACGTCTAGTCGTTCGTACATATCCACAGCCAGAAGAAGGAGGGTGTCATGGTCTGTTCTGCTTTTGCATACCTTTTAGCCTGTGGCGTGATCTATTTGGTAGGTTCTGTTAGATGAGACTCAGGCTGATGAGACTCAGGCTGATGAGACTCAGGCTGATGCGGCGACGGTTGTTTAGCTCGGGAGTTAATACGGCTTTCTGACCCTCGCTCCAATCGATCCTCCGACCTCCTTGTCTCCCTTCCCTTCTCCCCCCTCTCCCCCCTTGCTCTTAACGATGCTCCGCTTGCAGCAACAAGAAAAAGGCGGAGGATCCGTTCACCACCTTCCCCACCATCGACATTGCTTTCCGCTCTGCAGACAACACCAGCGCCACCTCGCACTTCTATCTTAAGCCACGCGAGTACCTCGCCCAGGTAGAAATGGGCTCCTCTCTTTGCAGTAACTCGCCCAGGTCAGCATGCTTGTTGTGATTCGCACTCTCATCTCAGTACCTCGCCCAGCCCAGGTATAGCACGCCTTCTTGTCATTCAATCACGGGCTCTTCTCATAGCAGTAGCCCGCCCAGGGAAAGCATGATCTTGCTTTGGATAACTTTCTAGCAGGCTTGTTTCCTGCTTATGTCAGTTCATCCAAACATATGCCAGAGCTGGAAGATCATGTTCAATTCAATGCGTGCACCTCCACTAATACCATGCCTATGCCTGCCCCTCCCATCCCTCCGCTGATCCATCAGCTGATAAATACTTGACTCAAGCCCAAAATTCTTCCAGTCAAAGTCTTCATTACTCCCTCTGCTCTCTTCTCTCCTCTCTCCTCTCCCCTCTCTCCTCTCTCCTCTCGCCTCTCCTCTCTTCTCTCTCCTCTCCTCACCTCTTTGCTCTCTCATCTCCTCTCCATTCTCTTCTCAACTCACATCCATTCTCTTAGCAAGAAAATATTCCCTTGCTAAGTCGCTCAAAGTTCTTCCCCAATGCCATGCCGCCCCACAGGTTGCGCCTTTGACTTACTGCGTTCTGGCCACATACCTTCCTGCCGACAGAAACTCCTACAGCTTAATCGGAGGTACGACTGCCACCTTCCGCACACCCACACACCCCTCTCTCTCTCTCTGTACCTGAGCTTCTACCAGCACCCTTCCCCTTTCCCCGCTGACCTACCCCTGTGCTTTACAGCCCATCTCCAGCCACCTGCCTCCGCGGGTGCATCCATAGCACCTGTTCTCCATTGCACCGTGCCGTGCTGCCAATCTATCTCTCATGCTACCTTCCACCACTCACTCCTCGCTCCACACCTACCAACTGCATACCAGCCTAACCAAGCTGATAGGGTCGTACGGAGAAAGCAGTGATTGGCTGCGCTGATTGAGGTTGGCTTCATCCTGCAGGCCACGAGCAGGAGGCCAGATGGACCTTGGCATCATCGCCGCCTCCTCTCCCTGCCCGTCCCATTTCCCTCTCACCAACCCCTCACCCGTCTCTTGCTGTCCTCCACTGGGGGGATGCATGTGCCCCTGAGCAGAGCCGGGGCTGGTTGGCAAGTACCTCTTCCTTGACTACACCAACGAGATCGCAGGATGGATGGACGCCCCTAGCTGTAAGCTGCTGCTCACCCTGCCCACAACGCCTGCCTGCCCCTTCGTTTCCTCAGCACATGCGCCCGCCTCTTGTCTCTTTCGTCCTGTAGGATTCTCAACACTTTTTGCTGTGGAAATCCTCCATCCTCCACCTGTGCTTGCTGTCGCGGTGGACTTTTGAGCAATCATAGCTACCAAAATTCTGTGGGGTGCATGCTTGCTTGCCCAAGTTATGCCTTGCAGTCCCTTCTCCTTTCAGCCCATTCTTCAATCTTTTCTGTCGCGTGCTTCTTGATCCCTTTCCCCTAACGTGCCTCACACCCTTTTCTGACACTTCACTCTCCTCTCCTCTCCTCACTTACCTCCCCTCACCTCAAAAGGTGGAGCTGAGCCTCTGCTGACTTTTGAGTCGACTCAAAAGTCAACTCTGACACTTCACTCTCCTCTCCTCTCCTCACTTACCTCCCCTCACCTCAACAGGTGGAGCTGAGCCTCTGCTGCTGCCACCCTCCCCTCCTCCACCTCCCTCGCCTGTTTCCAAAGCGGCCACTCGCTCTCTCTGCCAAGCGGCGGCAGCACTGTCAACTGTTGTTGTTCTTGCCACCTCTGCCACTCTCCTTGCTCTCGGTCTCCTGTAGAGCCTGAGTTCCTCCCTGGAGGCTTTGAGCCTGAGTCTTGTCTGGGGAGCATGCACTCTCATACTATGCTACTGTGTTGCTGGCCTGCTAGTGGGAGCTTATCAGCGTTGTGGCCAACTGTTGGTGCTAGCATACTGTCGGAATACAACAGTGGAATGAGGCTGGACTAGGGAGAGGGGATACAAATGGGAAACCTTAAAAGTGTTGTACTCCCTAAAGTGCACTTCAGTTTAGCCAAAAAAAATGGATGCATATAATTTGACACGCCCTCAAAGGCTAGGTAATGTTGCCATCGGTATTTCCATGTCCTTGAACAACTTTCTAAGATTCCAAGAGCCATTTTGGGCTAAATAAGTTTGACACCCAAAAGCACATGTATCGGCTTGTATGCTTCAAGTAAGCTCTCCAGCTTTGTTGCATGAAACCCGTTGAGTTGATTCAAGTTGAGAGTGCAACTTTCAGCTCGTCAATCCCTCTGCCCATGTCAATCCTTCCAAGTGCCACCTCCATGCACGTACCACAAACAACGCACCACCGCTCTTCTCTCCCTCCCGCAACCGCGCCTTGATTTCAATGGAGCCTGAGAGCACGCGCTGCTGCTACCACAAGGTGAGTGAGCCATACCGATCCAGTTTCATCTCATCTGCCTGCTCTGAGCTTCCAATCCATGTGCATCACATCACATCACCTCACCTGCCACAGACAGCCCAACCAAAAGCACGTCTAGTCGTTCGTACATATCCACAGCCAGAAGAAGGAGGGTGTCATGGTCTGTTCTGCTTTTGCATACCTTTTAGCCTGTGGCGTGATCTATTTGGTAGGTTCTGTTAGATGAGACTCAGGCTGATGAGACTCAGGCTGATGAGACTCAGGCTGATGCGGCGACGGTTGTTTAGCTCGGGAGTTAATACGGCTTTCTGACCCTCGCTCCAATCGATCCTCCGACCTCCTTGTCTCCCTTCCCTTCTCCCCCCTCTCCCCCCTTGCTCTTAACGATGCTCCGCTTGCAGCAACAAGAAAAAGGCGGAGGATCCATTCACCACCTTCCCCACCATCGACATTGCTTTCCGCTCTGCAGACAACACCAGCGCCACCTCGCACTTCTATCTTAAGCCACGCGAGTACCTCGCCCAGGTAGAAATGGGCTCCTCTCTTTGCAGTAACTCGCCCAGGTCAGCATGCTTGTTGTGATTCGCACTCTCATCTCAGTACCTCGCCCAGCCCAGGTATAGCACGCCTTCTTGTCATTCAATCACGGGCTCTTCTCATAGCAGTAGCCCGCCCAGGGAAAGCATGATCTTGCTTTGGATAACTTTCTAGCAGGCTTGTTTCCTGCTTATGTCAGTTCATCCAAACATATGCCAGAGCTGGAAGATCATGTTCAATTCAATGCGTGCACCTCCACTAATACCATGCCTATGCCTGCCCCTCCCATCCCTCCGCTGATCCATCAGCTGATAAATACTTGACTCAAGCCCAAAATTCTTCCAGTCAAAGTCTTCATTACTCCCTCTGCTCTCTTCTCTCCTCTCTCCTCTCCCCTCTCTCCTCTCTCCTCTCGCCTCTCCTCTCTTCTCTCTCCTCTCCTCACCTCTTTGCTCTCTCATCTCCTCTCCATTCTCTTCTCAACTCACATCCATTCTCTTAGCAAGAAAATATTCCCTTGCTAAGTCGCTCAAAGTTCTTCCCCAATGCCATGCCGCCCCACAGGTTGCGCCTTTGACTTACTGCGTTCTGGCCACATACCTTCCTGCCGACAGAAACTCCTACAGCTTAATCGGAGGTACGACTGCCACCTTCCGCACACCCACACACCCCTCTCTCTCTCTCTGTACCTGAGCTTCTACCAGCACCCTTCCCCTTTCCCCGCTGACCTACCCCTGTGCTTTACAGCCCATCTCCAGCCACCTGCCTCCGCGGGTGCATCCATAGCACCTGTTCTCCATTGCACCGTGCCGTGCTGCCAATCTATCTCTCATGCTACCTTCCACCACTCACTCCTCGCTCCACACCTACCAACTGCATACCAGCCTAACCAAGCTGATAGGGTCGTACGGAGAAAGCAGTGATTGGCTGCGCTGATTGAGGTTGGCTTCATCCTGCAGGCCACGAGCAGGAGGCCAGATGGACCTTGGCATCATCGCCGCCTCCTCTCCCTGCCCGTCCCATTTCCCTCTCACCAACCCCTCACCCGTCTCTTGCTGTCCTCCACTGGGGGGATGCATGTGCCCCTGAGCAGAGCCGGGGCTGGTTGGCAAGTACCTCTTCCTTGACTACACCAACGAGATCGCAGGATGGATGGACGCCCCTAGCTGTAAGCTGCTGCTCACCCTGCCCACAACGCCTGCCTGCCCCTTCGTTTCCTCAGCACATGCGCCCGCCTCTTGTCTCTTTCGTCCTGTAGGATTCTCAACACTTTTTGCTGTGGAAATCCTCCATCCTCCACCTGTGCTTGCTGTCGCGGTGGACTTTTGAGCAATCATAGCTACCAAAATTCTGTGGGGTGCATGCTTGCTTGCCCAAGTTATGCCTTGCAGTCCCTTCTCCTTTCAGCCCATTCTTCAATCTTTTCTGTCGCGTGCTTCTTGATCCCTTTCCCCTAACGTGCCTCACACCCTTTTCTGACACTTCACTCTCCTCTCCTCTCCTCACTTACCTCCCCTCACCTCAACAGGTGGAGCTGAGCCTCTGCTGCTGCCACCCTCCCCTCCTCCACCTCCCTCGCCTGTTTCCAAAGCGGCCACTCGCTCTCTCTGCCAAGCGGCGGCAGCACTGTCAACTGTTGTTGTTCTTGCCACCTCTGCCACTCTCCTTGCTCTCGGTCTCCTGTAGAGCCTGAGTTCCTCCCTGGAGGCTTTGAGCCTGAGTCTTGTCTGGGGAGCATGCACTCTCATACTATGCTACTGTGTTGCTGGCCTGCTAGTGGGAGCTTATCAGCGTTGTGGCCAACTGTTGGTGCTAGCATACTGTCGGAATACAACAGTGGAATGAGGCTGGACTAGGGAGAGGGGATACAAATGGGAAACCTTAAAAGTGTTGTACTCCCTAAAGTGCACTTCAGTTTAGCCAAAAAAAATGGATGCATATAATTTGACACGCCCTCAAAGGCTAGGTAATGTTGCCATCGGTATTTCCATGTCCTTGAACAACTTTCTAAGATTCCAAGAGCCATTTTGGGCTAAATAAGTTTGACACCCAAAAGCTAGAGGCTATGAATGAAGCTCTAAAGCTCGATGCCGCAAAAAAAAAAACCAGGGACGACACATTGCCCTCTTACGAGTGTCTGTTAAAGGTGGGGTGAAATTCTTAGGAGCAGTAGACAAATTGGCATGTGAGTAGTGCTGCGATCAGAAGTTGATCGCCACCAGGATCTACTCAGGAAGGTTCGCACGCAGTAGAGTGATGTTGGTGGGCCCTTAACCTCAATAGCAGAGTGAAAATAAAATGCTTGAGATGAAAATACAGCAAATATAAATATGAGTACAGGGGAATACGAAACGACCTAACTAGCCATGTACTCTAAGGGGTGCATTCCCTTATTCAAATACATTCCCAACCGTGCGGCGCGAACAGTTATGAAACCGTTCCCGCCGAAACCATCCTGCCTACAGCTGCCCGATGCCGTCTGCTCCGACGGTCCAGATGTGCCGTAACCGTCTGGCGCTTCGAGTCAGTTCCAACCGTCTGACTCTTCGCATTCATTCTCGATACTGCGTGTTCCTTTTTGCTGCGGTGAGGAGTGCACAGTAATAATCAAATATTACTCTTCGTAACACCCCCCTTCATTCCTTGCCGTAGCTCGACTTGACCTGCTTGACCACGCCGCTGAGTTCGCAGCAGTGTTGATACTGCTGGCGTGGCAGTCGCTTCGTGAGGAAGTCTGCTGCCATGTCACCGGTCGGGCAATAGGTCAAGTTGACCTTTGTTGAAACTAACTGGCAGGAATGAATGATGACTAGCAAGAATGTGTGTACAAATATGCAACCCTAGAGTTTGTGTACCCCCTAAAGGCTAACCCACTGTAGCCTAAACAACAACAACAGATATAATGTTTGACACACCCCCATAGGCAAAGTGGGGGAGAACAAGGGGTCACAAGACCAGTCAGAGCAAAGCAAAGCACAAGCAAGCTCAGGGTGGATCTCAAGGGATACCACACAAATTCCGAGCACAAGCAAGTGGTCACAAGACCAGTTCACATGCAGTTTGATAGTAGAGCAAGAGGTACAGTGATCACAACCTAGCAAGTGAAAGCATGCAGGTATATATATAGAGATCACAGTACAAACAAAGTCAAGAAGTAAGCAAGTGAGGTCCAGTAGGCACAAGGCCTAGAAGAGTACAGAAGCGCTGATGGTCACAAGGCTGAAGCGCCTTGGTGAACACGTCAGCAGTGTTGGCCTGAGTGGCCACGTAACGCAGACAAAGCTGACCATGCTGCTGCATCTCACGAGCCAGAAAGTACCGCAGAGCGATGTGCTTCGTTCTGTGCTCCAGTCTGTGCTCCTCACACAATGCAATGGCAGCCTTGTTGTCGACGTACAGCACTGGAGGAGAACGAGGCCGCTCTCCCAAGTCGGTCAACAGGTAGGTGAGCCAGCGTAGCTCCTGGGCTGCCATGGCTGTGGCGTAGATCTCAGCCTCACAACTGGAGCTGAGAACTGAAGAAGAACGTGTAGAACGCCAAGAAACTGAACCGGAGCCAAGGCTGAAGGTGTAACCCTGAGAAGACCGCTGCGTGGCCTGGTCGTCCGCCAAAGAAGCGTCTGAGTGTCCAGTGAGAACAACTCGGTCTCGCCCTCCAAGCACTAGCCCCATGCCCGACGTACTGCACAAGTAGCGCAACACCCTCTTAGCGGCATCCATGTGCTCCTTTCGGTGACGGCCAGGAGCGACATAGCGTGCAAGGATGCTAAGAGGGTATGCAAGGTCAGGACGAGTGCAGGTCATGAGGTACATGAGGCAGCCCACAAGCTCTGGATACGGGCCACTTGGCTCTACGGACTCATCCGAAGGCAGAGCTGAGAGCGAGTGACCGGTAGGCAGAGGAGTGGACTGAGGCGAGGAGTACGTGAAGCCGAAGCGCTGAAGGACCTGCTGCACCATGTGTGACTGAGTCAACGTAATGGTGCGCCGTGCTCTGTCCCGGGTGATCCGCAAGCCAAGGTAGCTTGTCAGTTCACCCAGGTCTGTGCACGTGTGTCTCTTCTGCAGCTCCGGCTTCACGTGGGCGAGAGCCTGAGTGTCAGCAGTGGCAAAGACCAAGTCGTCGACGTACACGAGGATGTAGAACGGTGGCAACGAAGTGTCTGTGCGTAGAAACAGCGACGGGTCAGCAGTAGAAGGCGCGAACCCAAGTGCCGCAAGTGTAGTCCTCAGTGTGTCGTGCCACTCACGTGGCGCCTGGCGGAGACCGTAGACCGGCCGGCGGAGGCTCCACTGGGTACCAGGAGGAAACGACCCAGTGAAGCCAGGAGGGCGGCGCAGCCAGATCTCCTCGTGCAGACTACCCTGCAAGAAAGCAGTGCTGAAGTCAAGAGAGTGAAGCTCGTAGTCACGCTGAGCGGCTATGTGCAGCAGCACTCGAAGAGTGGTCATCTTCGGGGTGGGGGAGAAGGTCTGGAAGATGTCGACTCCCTCACGCTGGCTGAAGCCTCGAGCAACGTAACGCGCCTTGAAGACAGGCGGAGAACCCGGCGGCCGCTTCACCCTGAAAATCCACATGCCACTGACGATGTTCGCCCCTGGTGGGGGAACAGCGTCGACGTAGGTGCCTGTGGACTTCCAGGAAGCCATCTCTGCGTCCATGGCTGTCTGCCACTGAGAGGAGTAGGGACCCGCTATCGCCTCTGCGTAAGAGCGCGGGGTCGGGATGTCTGGTGCATCCGGGTCTCCCTCAGGGGCAACTAGCATGGACACGAGATGAGGTAAAGCAGCAGCAAAGCACTGGAACTCCTCCTGCCTATCCTCAAGGACGTCCGTGCCAAGAGCACACTCACCCCCGACGGACGGAGGACAGACAGACTCAGACTCAGCAACTAGGCTAGCGGCGTAGTCGAGACGACAAGCGGCAGCAAAGTCAACTAACTCAGCGACGAGAGCAGAGGCAGCAGAGGACTCAAAGGTAGGGTCAGTGACAACAGTAGCAAGGAGACGCGTGACAGTAGGACGGGCAGCACGAAGGGAGTCAGACTCCGGGTCAGGAAGCTCAGGAAGAGAGGACGCAGGAGGAGACGGCAGAAGGACACGCTGAGGAGCAGTGGAGGGACGCAGAGTCATGTAGTGAGTGCCAGGGACAGGAGGAGGACGCTCACGCGGGACACGACGACGAGTGCGAGCAGCACGGACAGGCGACGCAGAGCGAGACGCAGGCGACACAGGACGAGACTCAGGCTCACGACGCTCCGTAAGGCCTCCTGTGGGACCAGTGTAAGGAGAAGGACCGGGGAGCGGCGAGGGAGGCGGGAACTGCGACTGCGACGGGACCGGCGGAGGACACTCTAAGGAGGGAGCAGGACAAGGAGGAGGAGGCTGACCAAGAACCTGCTGGAGAAGCGGAACGAAGTACGGTCGGGGCCGCTCAGTGACTCCAGAACCAGGAGAGACGGCACCAGCACCCGCGGCAGCTCCAGCAGCACCAGCTCTAGGGTCCGCAGCACCAGCAGCAGCTCCAGCGCCAGGGTCCGCCGCACCAGCAGCAGCTCCAGCTCCAGGGTCCGCAGCACCAGCAGCAGCTCCAGCTCCAGGGTCCGCAGTACCAGCAGCAGCTCCAGCTCCCGGGTCCGCAGCACCAGCAGCAGCTCCAGCGTCAGGGTCCGCAGCACCAGCAGCAGCTCCAGCTCCAGGGTCCGCAGCACCAGCAGTAGCTCCAGCGCCAGGGTCCGCAGTACCAGCAGCAGCTCCAGCTCCCGGGTCCGCAGCACCAGCAGCAGCTCCTGCGTCAGGGTCCGCAGCACCAGCAGCACTAGCAGGGCCTCCAGCAACAGCAGCAGCACCTCCAGCACCAGGGTCCGCGACACCACGCGCTCCACTCCGGAGAGTGGAGCGCCGCTCGTACCACTCGCGGATCCGCTCAAGAGAGGGCAGCTCCCGCTAAGGAGGGGAGGCACCAGCACCAGTCGCAGCAGCACTCCTGGTCCCAGAGGCACCTCTCCGGAGGCTGCAGTACTCTGAGTACCACTCACGTAGCCGCTCCGAGGAGAGAGCTCCCCCAGGCGCAGGACTCCCAGGCTCAGCACCCCCAGACTCAGCACTCCCAGACCCAGAACTCGGCAGCTCAGCACCCCCAGGCACAGCACCCCCAGGCTCAGGACGCCCAGGCTCAGCACCCCCAGACTCCGCACCCCCAGGCTCCGCAACCGCAGGCTCCGCACCCCCAGGCTCCGCACCCCCAGGCTCAGCACCCCCAGGCTCAGCACCCCCAGGCTCCGCACCCCCAGTCTCAGCACCCCCAGGCTCAGTACCCTCAGGCTCAGCACTCCCAGGCTCAGTACCCCCAGACTCCGCACCCCCAGGCTCCGCACCCACAGCAGGACGAGAGTCAACAGCTACCTCAACAGGCTCAACCGGGTCTACCTGGGACACACCTGAGGGAGCGGCACCCTGAGGGGGGAGGGGGTCTACCACAGCGGCACCTGGCACGAGGAAGAGAGGCGGGGGGGGGAGCGGGGCAGTGCGGTAGGGGAAGAGGTGGTAGTAGGGGACGGACTCGTCAAACGTGACGTCCTGAGAGGCAAGGACCCGGCGCGAGGTGGCGTGGTAAAACCGCCAACCAGACGCGTCAGGGACAAAGCCAAGGAAGACGCAGGGAACAGCGCGGGTGGAGAGCTTGTCCGCGGACGTATCGCGGACAAAAGCTCGAGATCCCCAGACCCGGAAACGCGACGCATCGCCAACCTCCCCCGTCCACAGCAGCGTGGGCGAGGTCTCCGGCAAGGAGACACGGGGCCAGAGGTTGAGCTGATGCGCAGCGTACCGGACCGCAAACGGCCACAGAAAGTGGGGGGCAGCCGCATGGATCAAGGAGGTACGGGCGACCTCCATGACTAGGCCAATGCGGCGCTCCGCAACCCCATTCTGCTGTGGAGAGGCCGGAAGCGTGAACGACTGCTCAATGCCGTGCTCAGCACAGTAGGCTGCTAAGAGGTCGGAGGAGAACTCACCACCTCTGTCAGAGTGCAAGCGCAGGACAGGAAAGTCCGAGTGGAAACGCTCGCTGAGCTGGAGACGAGCTCTGCGGATCCAAGGGATCAAAACATCAGGGACCTCACCCTTGGCTCGCAAGGGGAAGACTGTGGTGTAGCGCGAGTAGTCGTCAACAACTATCAGGAAGTACCTCTCCTGACCCTGACCACGGACGCGGGCTGGGCCCCACACGTCCATGTGGAGCGTCTGCAAGGGAGCAATCGTCGGGGGAAAGGAGGAGGAGTGAGGAGCGGCGCGCTGCCGCCCCTCGACACAGGGAAGACAGGGAGGAGCAGGCGAGGGAGGGAGAGGAGGGAGGACCCTGGGAAGACCAGAGACAAGGTACCTGGAGTGCATGGCGCGAAGGCGCTGCACAGACGGGTGGCCAAGTCGGTGGTGCCAGAGGACAGTCTCGTGCGCCAGAGAGCGACACGAGCAGGGGGCCGACAGCTGACCTGACGCAGACGCAGACGCAGCGACCTGAGGGGACTCAGTGGTCAGTGTGTACAGGTCCGACCCCGGCTTCCGAGTGAAGGTAGCCAAGTGGCGGCCCGTACGGGCACACGTGCAGTGCGTCACGCGCTCGTAGGCCGGGGTGAACTGGTGAACACCCGCGTCCTGGAGCGCACACCCAGCCACCAGGTTCGTAGAGAACGAGGGGAGGTGGAGACCGGACAGTGTGCCCGACGGGACCGCAGGACAGGGAAGGACAGTGGAGGAGGTCGCCACGACTGGTCCCCCGGAGGGGTTAGCGAGGGAGACAGCAACTGGCCGAGAAAGTGGCTCAAGGGCAGTGCGGTCACGAAAGAAACAGCGAGAAGCACCTGAGTCCAGTGCGAAGGTGTGCAGTGCTGCAGTCGACTCAGTACCAGTGGGCGCAGACGCACAAGCACCTAGAGCAGCAGCCGTACCAGCACCTGAGGTAGCAGACACGCGCGGACCTGAAGCGGCAGACTCACTGGTCCTAATGCCCGGGTCGGGCGGAACACACAGGTACTCGGCACCCTCTCCACTAGTAGACATCACATACATGGAAGTGAGAATAGCATCAAAGTCTAGAGCATAGATATCAATCCCCTTCTTCAGGAGATCAATCCAGCGGGGCAGCTCAGAGGCCTGAGGGAACTGAACACGCCAAGCGTCGTTGAGACGAGAGAAGCAGCGCTGCGCGGTGTGGGCCCTCCCACACGTCTGACCAGCGCGGTCACCAGTGCGGATGACGTACGTGCAGCTAAGCCCACCCCCCCCCCCCCCCCCGTGCTGAGAGTACCACTCACGGACCTCCTGGAGCGACGGAGTGTGCTGCTGGCTCTGGCCACCGCCACCGCCTCCACGACCACCACCTCCGCTCCCACCTCCTCGACCACCCCAACCCGTGCCGCCTCCACGTCCACCGCCACCCCCACCACCGCCCCCGCCTCTGCCACCTCCCCCGCCGCTACCGCCACCCCCCCCCCCCACCGCCACCACTCACCCCTCCAGCCGCGCCACCACCCCCACCGCCGCCACCGCCCCCACCACCTCCTCCCCCACTGTGACCTCCGCCTCCCTTGCCCCCTTTGCCCTTGCCGCTGCGGCGTCCGCTCGAAGCAGACGCAGTCCCGACCTTCTCAGCACCAAGGAGGTCGACAGCAGCAGCAGAGGCGACAGAGGGAAGAAGGGGGGGAGTAGAACACCCCTCAAAGAACGGGGTGCGGGGGTCGCCACGAGAGGCACCTACAGCGACTATGCTAGCCTCAGCTGCAAGTATTTCCTTCTCGAGGAGGGCAATGGTGAGTTCAGTAGGGCAGCGAGCTAGGAAGGAATCCCTCACTGCACGCAGAGAGTCAGGGAGGCGGGTGACTAGGTGGTAGAGAGTGAGCCAGAGCGGAGGAGGGTTCTTGGCAAGGAACTAGGCGGGCATGGCAGCACGGAAGCGGGCCTCACTAGTACGGAGGTGGGTGATGAGGTCAGCGACTGTGTGGAAAGAGGACAGGTCGGGGAACAGGTAGGGAAGCGAGAGACGGCCTAGAGCGGCAGAGGCAGGCGAGGAGTAGCGGGCAACGACAGCTTTGTACAGGTCCTGTGCAGTCTTGTGCTGGCCAAAGTGCTCGCGCTCTTCTAGCGGCAGGGAGTTGCGAATAGCAAAGCGAGCGTGGGCGTCACGAGTCTGCCACTGTGAGCGGGTAGAGCTGTCGGCAGTAGCAGCACGCGCAGGGGCATGGCCTAGGGCGTGATCGTACAGTGAGATGTCTTTGTCAGTGATAACGGACTGGAATGATGAACTAACAAGGATTGTGAGTACAAATATGAAACCCTAATGTTGTGACCCCCCTATAGGCTAACCCACTACAGCCTACACAAATGCAACATGTAAAATGTTTGACACACCCCCATAGGCAAAGTGGGGGAGACCTTGGGGTCACAAGACCAGTCAAGGCAAAGCAAGGCAACAACAAGCTCAGGGTGGATCTCAAGGATTCCACACAAATTCTGAGCACAAACTAGTGGTCACAAGACCAGTTCACATGCAGGTTTATAACAGAGCAAGAGATACAGTAATCACAACCTAGCAAGAGTAAACATGCCGGTATAGATATATATATAGTGATCACAGTACAAGCAAAGTCAAGAGGTAAGTAAGTGAGGTCCAGTAGGCACAAGGCCTAGTAGAGTGCAGAAGCGCTGATGGTCACGAGGCTGAAGCGCCTTGGTGAACACATCAGCAGTGTTGGCCTCAGTGGCCACGTAGCGAATACAAAGCTGACCGCGCTGCTGCAGCTCACGAGCAAGGAAGTACCGCAGGGCGATGTGCTTCGTTCTGTGCTCCAGTCTGTGCTCCTCACACAAGGCAATGGCAGCCTTGTTGTCGACGTACAGTACTGGAGGAGAACGAGGCCGCTCTCCGAGGTCGGTCAGCAGGTAGGTCAGCCAGCGTAGCTCCTGGGCAGCCATGGCTGTAGCGTAGATCTCAGCCTCGCAACTGGAGCCGAGAACAGAAGAAGAGCGTGTAGAGCGCCAAGAAACTGAGCCAGAGCCAAGGCTGAAGGTGTAACCCTGAGACGACCGCTGAGTGGCCTGGTCGTCTGCCCAAGAAGCGTCTGAGTGCCCTGTGAGAACAACTCGGTCTCGCCCTCCAAGCACAAGCCCCATGCCCGACGTACTGCACAAGTAGCGCAACACCCTCTTAGCGGCATCCATGTGCTCCTTCCTATGACGGCCAGGAGCGACATAGCGTGCAAGGATGCTAAGGGGGTATGCAAGGTCAGGTCGAGTGCAGGTCATCAGGTACATGAGGCAGCCCACAAGCTCTGGATACGGGCCACTCGGCTCTACGGACTCATCCGAAGGCAGAGCTGAGAGCGAGTGACCGGTAGGCAGAGGAGTGGACTGAGGCGAGGAGTACGTGAAGCGGAAGAGCTGGAGAACCTGCTGCACCATGTGTGACTGAGTCAGGGTGATGGTGCGCCGTGCTCTGTCCCGGGTGATCCGCAAGCCAAGATAGCTTGTCAGCTCACCCAGGTCTGTGCACGTGTGTCTCCTCTGCAGCTCCGACTTCACGTAGGCGAGTCTGGCAGTGTCAGCAGTGGCAAAGACCAAGTCGTCGACGTACACGAGGATGTAGAACGGCGGCAGCGAAGTGTCGGTGCGCAGGAACAGCGACGGGTCAGCTGTAGAAGGCGCGAACCCAAGAGCCGCAAGTGTAGTCCTCAGTGTGTCATGCCACTCACGCGGAGCCTGGCGGAGACCGTAGACCGGCCGCTGAAGCCTCCACTGGGTACCAGGAGGAAACGACCCAGCGAAGCCAGGTGGGCGGCGCAGCCAGATCTCCTCCTGCAAGAAAGCAGTGCTGAAGTCAAGTGAGTGAAGCTCGTAGTCGCGGTGAGCGGCTATGTGCAGCAGCACCCGAAGAGTAGTCAACTTCGGGGTGGGGGAGAAGGTCTGGAAGAAGTCAACTCCCTCTCGTTGACTGAAGCCTCGAGCCACGTAACGCGCCTTGAAGACAGGCGGAGAACCCGGCGGCCGCTTCACCCTGAAAATCCACACGCCACTGACGATGTTCGCCCCAGGAGGGGGAACCTCGTCGACGTAGGTGCGTGTGGACTTCCAGGAAGCCATCTCGGCGTCCATGGCTGTCTGCCACTGAGAGGAGTAGGGACCCGCCATCGCCTCAGCGTAAGTGCGCGGGGTCGGGATGTCTGGTGCATCCGGGTCTCCCTCAGGGGCAACTAGCAAGGACACGAGACGGGGCAAAGCAGCAGCAAGACACTGGAACTCCTCCTGTTTGTCCTCAAGGACGTCCGTGCCAAGAGCACACTCACCCCCGACGGACGGAGGACAGACAGACTCAGACGCAGACTCAGCAACAAGGCTAGCAGCGTAGTCTAGACGACAGGCAGCAGCAAAGTCAACCAACTCAGCGACCAGAGCAGACGCAGCCGAGGACTCAAAGGTAGGGTCAGTGACAACAGTAGCGAGGAGACGCGTGACAGTAGGGTGCTCAGCACGATACCGGTCAGACTCAGGGTCCGGAACGTCAGGCAAAGAGGACGCAGGAGGAGACGGTAGAGGGACACGCTGAGGAGCAGTAGAGGGACGCAGAGTCATGTAGTGAGTGCCTGGGACAGGAGGAGGACGCTCACGACGGACACGACTACCAGTGCGAGCAGGACGAACAGGCGACGCAGGACGAGACTCAGGCTCACGACGCTCTGTATGACCTCCTATGGGACCAGTGTAAGGAGAGGGAGCAGGGAGAGGCGAGGTAGGCGGTAACTGTGACTGCGGCTGGACAGGCGGGGGACACTCTACGGAGGGAGGAGAACAAGGAGGAGGAGCCTGCCCAAGAACCTGCTGAAGGAGCGGTACGAAGTACGGTCGCGGCCGCGCAGCGTCTCCAGAAGCAGAGGAGACTCCAGCGGCCGGGTCCTCAGTACCAGTAGGAGCTCCAGCGTCTGGGTCCACAGCACCAGCAGCAGCTCCACCGGCCGGGTCCTCAGCACCAGTAGTAGCTCCAACGCCCGGGTCCTCGGTAGCAGCAGCAGCGCCACCGCTCGGGTCCTCAGCTCCAGCAGCAGCTCCACCGTCCGAGTCCTCAGCACCAGCAGCAGCTCCACCGTCCGGGTCCTCAGCACCAGCAGCAGCGCCACCGCCCGGGTCCTCAGCTCCAGCAGCAGCTCCAACGTCCGAGTCCTCAGCACCAGCAGCAGCTCCACCAGGCGGGTCCGCAGCACCAGCAGCAGCTCCAACGTCCGGGTCCTCAGCACCAGCAGCAGCGCCACCCCCAGGGTCCGCAGCACCAGGAGCACCACTCCGAAGACTTCAGCGGCGTGTGTACCACTCGCGGATCTGCTGAATGGGGGGGAGCTCCTGGGTAGGAGGGGAAGTACCGGGACGAGCTCCAGCAGCACCTCTCCGGAGGCGGCAGTACTCGAGGTACCTCTCCTGCATCTGCTGGGAGGAGAGGGCTCCTCCAGGTGTAGCACGCGCAGGCTCAGCACCCCCAGACTCAGCACCCCCAGACTCAGCACCCCCAGGCTCAGCACCTCCAGGCTCCGCACCTCCAGGCTCCGCACCTCCTGGCTCAGCACCCCCAGGCTCCGCACCCCCAGACTCAGCACTCCCAGGCTCAGCACCCCCAGACGCAGCACCCCCAGGCTCAGCACCCCCAGACGCAGCACCCCCAGGCTCAGCACCCCTAGCAGGACGAGAGTCAACAGCTACCTCGACAGGCTCACCCGGGTCTACCTGGGACACACCTGAGGGAGCGGCACCCTGAGGGGGGGGGGGGTCTGGTACCTCAGCACCTGGAGCGAGGAAGAGAGGGGGGGGGGGAGCGGGGCTGTGCGGTAGGGGAAGAGACGGTAGTAGGGGACGGACTCGTCAAAAGTGACGTCCTGAGAGGCCAGGACACGACGCGAGGTGGGGTGGTAGAACTGCCAGTCAGGGGCGTCCGGGACAAAGCCAAGGAAGGCGCAGGGGACAGCGCGACGGGAGAGCTTGTCCGCGGACGTGTCGCGGACAAAAGCTCGGGATCCCCAGACCCGAAAACGTGACGCATCGCCAGCCTCTCCCGTCCAACGCAGTGTCGGAGAAGTCTCGGGCAAGGAGACACGGGGCCAGAGGTTGAGTTGATGCGCAGCGTATCGGACTGCAAACGGCCACAGAAAATGGGGGGCAGCCGCATGGCTCAAGGAGGTACGAGCGACCTCCATGACCAGACCAATGCGGCGCTCAGCAACCCCATTCTGCTGTGGAGAGGCCGGAAGCGTGTACGGCTGCTCAATGCCCTCCTGCTGACAGAAGGCCTCCAATAGGCCAGAGGAAAACTCCTCACCTCTGTCAGAGTGCAGACGCAGGACAGGGAAGTCGGAGCGGAAACGCTCACTGAGTTGGAGACGAGATCTGCGGATCCAAGGGATCAAGACATCAGGGACGTCACCCTTGGCGCGCAAGGGGAAGACCGTGGTGTAGCGCGAGAAGTCGTCAACAACAATCAGGAAGTACCTCTCCTGACCCTGACCACGGACGCGGGCTGGGCCCCACACGTCCATGTGGAGCGTCTGCAAGGGAGCAGTCGTCGGGGGAAAGGAGGAGGAGTGAGGAGCGGCGCGCTGCCGTCCCTCGACACAGGGAATACAGGGAGGAGCAGGCGAGTCGGGAAGGGGAGGGAGCACCCTGGGAAGACCAGCAACCAGGTCCCGTTTGTGCATGGCCCGAAGGCGCTGCACAGACGGGTGACCAAGGCGGTGGTGCCAAAGGACAGTCTCATGCGCCAGAGAGCGACACGAGCAGGGGGCGGACAGCTGACCTGACGCAGACGCAGACGCGGACGCAGCTACCTGAGGGGACTCAGTGGTCAGTGTGTAAAGGTCCGACCCCGGCTCCCGAGTGAAGGTAGCCAGGTGGCGACCCGTCCGAGCA